TGAAACAAATAGTTTCATCGATAATGAAATTAAGGAGAATGGCAGTTGCTTCAAGGGCTTGTATCTTTAACTGTGGCTCACGCTACCAATTAAGTAAGAAAGCAGGGGAGAAGATGAAACGCATTAAAGAGCTTCAAGAAGGTGGCAGGTTTGATGTTGTATCTGATCCAGCTCCTCCTCTTGCTATAGAATTCATGTGTGACAGAGATTATCAGATGTTTAAATCGAGAGAGTCAGCAAAAGAGGAAATCAAAGAGGCATTGAAAGATGAAAATGTCCATGTCATTTGGGTTTATGGGATGGGAGGTGTGGGCAAAACAACTCTGGTGAAGGAAATTGGCAAACAAGTGGAGAAAGAGAAGCTTTTTGACAAGGTCGTGATGGCTGTGGTGTCCCAAGATCCAAACTTGAAACCGATTCAAGGTGAGATTGCAAGGATGTTACCCTTAGAATTTGAAGAAAAAGAAGATGTACTGGAAAAAGCACAGAAGCTATCAAGAAAGTTGCAAAACGAGAAGAGTATTCTTATTATCTTAGATGATATGTGGGATAACTTAGATTTGAAGCAATTGCGGATCCCCTTGGATTTGGATGACAACAACCAGAGGGAGAAGAGAGGGTGCTGCAAAATCCTACTCACAACCCGAAGCCAAGATGTATGCCATGAGATGAAGACCCATCCACAAATTGCTCTTGACGTCTTATCAGAAGATGATGCTTGGGGTTTGTTTAAAAGGAATGCGGGTGATGTGGTGGAACATACTAGAGCTTTGCGTGATGTGGCTAAGGAAGTTGCTAGGGAGTGCAAGGGTTTGCCCGTAGCAATTGTAACAGTTGCTGGAGCACTAAGAGATAAGAAAGATTTACAGGTTTGGGAGGATGCACTCCAAGAGATTAAAAGGGTTGAACCTCAATACATCAAGGGTTTGGACCAGAAAGTGTACAAATGTGTGCGATGGAGTTACGATTATCTGGACGATGTAGAAATCCAACGCTTCTTCTTGTATTGTTGTCTGTTTCCTGAGGTTTATGAGATCAAAATCGAGCAAATGATGTGGTATTGTTTTGGAGCAGGAGTATTTGAAAATGTTGAAACAATTGAAGATGCAAGACGCAGAACCCGTAGGATTGTGAATAAGCTCAAAGCGTCTTCTCTGTTGTTTCAAGGATGGAGCCAGGATTTCATCAAAATGCATGATATAGTTCGTGATGTGGCCATCTCAATTGTATCACCGCCTGTTGCTGTTGGTAATAGATCTCATCATGATGAACTATTCATGGTCAGAGCTGGTAAAGGACTGACGGAGTGGCAAAGAATGGAATCCGGCATTACCAAAGCTGTAGCAGGTTACACAGCCATCTCGTTGATGAATAATTATATACAAAAGCTGCCTGCAGCTGATGGATTATTGGAATCATCATCTTCAGGGCGGCTAAGGACTTTGTTGTTGCAAAAGGATTCCAGTAGTAGATCAAAATTGGAAATTCCAAATACTTTCTTTGGAGGGGTGATCAAATCACTTACAACACTGGATCGGAGTACTAATATCATTGGTCCCAGCAGCCTATCACCGATCCAGTGCTTGACAAATCTCCGTACGTTAAATCTACAAGGATGCAGGGGGTTACAACAAGAGGTATCTGTACTTGGATACTTGGATCTTTGAAGCAACTTGTGATTCTCAGACTAAATAGATGTCATTTGGAAAGGTTGCCGCTGGATATGGCACGGTTGACCAATCTAAGGCTGCTGGATTTATCAGACAATAAAGGTCTGATTATACCACCCAATGTGATATCAAGCTGGTCCCATCTGGAACAACTATACCTGTTTCGGAGCTTTTGCGAGTGGGAGCAGGTGCAAGGAATCACAACCGGCGAAGAGAAAAAAGCAGCAGCTAGTGGGATATACATTTCATGGCCTCACCACTCTATGTGGGATATACATTTCCAAGCAACATTGAGAACATTGAGATCCTTGACACAACATTACAAAGTTAGGACAAATGCTGGTCATAAATTCATTAGACTCTATGGAGAGAGAATCATCATCTAAATGATTTCCATGATTCTGAACATTATATTGCAATTTTTTAGGTTTCCAACTAAAGTCATTCATTAACATGGCTCCACAAAGGAGGTCTTGAGCTGACTTGGCTCTGCATCATAGAATAAGTAGGCATTTAAGAGCCCTTGGAATAGCTCAATAAAAGGCCGTCTGTAAGTTGACAGAACATTAGTGAATGCACCTTTGACAAAGTATAGTCCTGCCCAAACATACAAGTAATTTCTAGGAAATGCAAACGTCAACACCCCAAGGAAGTTAGATGACCACTTCACTTGCACATAGGTGTTGGAAAGGCCTAGGTAAATGCTTGCTAGCATAGGAGGAACCAAGCTATATGTAATGCCATGAGCCATTCGTGATGTGCCTTGAATGTTCTAGGACAAAGGAATGTTAAGGTCACAAGGAAATCCTAACTTGACAAATGGATTTTATTTGCACCTCTTAGAGCTGGCCTGCTTTCCTCTCATTTGCAAAGGTAAGATGAGCATAGGCTTTGAACAAATACTAGAATGTACGAGGCAAACCATCTGGACTAAAAGACAAAATTCTAAGCTCGGAATCACTTCCTCATAATATTTTCTACTAAGGGAAAGGCTTGAGATCTATCAGATATCCCAAAGAGATATTCCAATTTCACCTCGACTGGTCACAAAAGTGTTCATGTCAGGGCACCAAACCTCACATAGGGCACTATAAATGCTATCAGGCCAATTATACACACGAGTAGTTGCATGGACCGCTCGACTTAATTCTTTCACGTTCCCTATGTCTCAAAGACGATTGAATACTTCACGACTCCAATCCTGAAATCCACTAAGATATTGAATCTCCCCTCTTGGGCTTAGATTAAAACCTCATTTCTTGGACCCATGTTGTATCTTTTCTACAATATAGGAAAATGAACGGTTATTTGTAGCGGTATGGTGGAAGGGATGTTTTAAGCATAGCTGCCTAGGCGTAGTAATATGATCCCCTTGTTGCATTTCATGGCTCCTGGGATACCAACTAATCTTTGTCAACCTTGAAAGTGGTCCTAGTTCAATTCCACTTTGACCATAAGGACCTATCATCGGCTCATCAATGGCAAATACGAGCTCAGTGTGATGAGCACTCCTCGACCCATGAGATTTTACTAGTATGCTAGGAAAACAAATGAACTGTCCCTTTAATGTGGGACCCCACATGCTCCATCACCCACCCTTTTTGAGGCAAAATCCTTGGCAGAGAGTGTAGGAGATGATGAAGAGACATCGTGACAAGGTGAGCCAGAGGAAGTCATTACCTGCATAAGTAAAATAAGAGTGTCAGTACCATATGAAATATTTATCTTAAAATGAAGAAGCAAGATATTTGCGGCACTCTTTGGTGATGAAGCTCTATGCAAGCTAATCCCAAAATCCAAGAGACCTCGGACCTGAAAGTCTACAAAGCCCTGGACCTAGGGACCCTGGACCATTGAAAGTCTATGAGGGCCTACTATTGATGAAGTTCTACATGTTGTGACTCTCTGGTAAAGAAGCTATATGCAAGTTAATCCCTAAATCCAAAAGACCTTGAACCCGAATGTCTACGAAACTTTGGACCTAGGGACTTTGGACTATTGAAGGTCTGCGAGGGCTTACTACTGATGAAGCCATATTGATGCGCCAATTGGTGAAGTCCTAACCTGTCAAGTCTTATAGAAATGAAAAGCAATTCATCCCACCTTGACAGCAAGAGACACACAATTGAAGTATCAAACTTAGAGTCCTGCATGAACAAGATTATAGTCATAAGACTTCACCTCATCGAAAGGAAACAAAGTGATGTGTTGGTCTAATATAAACATCAATGCTTAAAAGTGTCAACATGTATAAAAGCTGAGTCAGGTTAATAAAAGGAAAGAAAGGGAGTTATCATTTCATTTAGTTTCAAATCAGGACAAAAAGGAAGGTTCGCCCAACTCCAAGATTGTGAAATCCACTAATGCATGAAATGAAACTATGCAATTTATTAGGTTTCTTGCAAAGGAAGTTTATAGAGTTGAGTGAGGGAATACATGCCAAAACAAACAAAGTGTAATTAGTTAGTTCAATCAACATAAATATATAAGGTTTAGTCCTTCTTCACAATTCTGGCCTGAACGAGGAATGTCAACACATTCTTCTTCTGATCACCTTGAAGTTGAGAATAACTTGGCCTAGCTTTGCATCCTGGACAATAGTACCATTGCAGCAAAATTCCATCTTTAGATCCTTGAGTATTTTGAAATTACTGAATTCCTTCTTGAAACTTTGCACTGTTTGGATTTTCCGACCATTTCTCTGTTGTATACACCCATGCACATACTCCTTTGCCCCAACATGCGAGTCCTCAGCATTTGCCTCTATAAAGGGATGGAACACTGTAAGAATCTGGACGGACATGACCTTGGATGTTGAAAGTGGAGGACAATAAATGGAGTTTTGAAGGTATAGCCAGTTAAAGAAGAAAGAGATCGATGAGAGAGGAAAAGGGGATAACATGCTGATAGCGGTAAAATAGGTATTTAAAAAAAATGATTAATTCATTTAACGTTTTTCGTCTTGATCATTGATGGAAGAGAAGTTTTTGTTAAGTTCTTTAAAATTATAAGGGGGTTTTTATTAAAGTAAAATTATAAGGGAGATTTTTATAATTGTCACAAACTTCATCGGAAGTTTTTATATTTTATTGTATTATATATGTGGGCTGTGCCATGCTACGCTATGAACTATGCAAGGCCAAGACATTTTCCTGTGTCAGTGCCATATCGGGCTGACGGCCTGGACTCCCTAAGCCCAATATCAATATGGCCCAGGGATTTGGGCCGTGCCCAAGACGACCCGCTAGCTGCAGTAATCGGAACATGCCTAGCATGACCCACATTACAGTTGTAAAAATGGATAATGGGACAAACTTTCTATAGCCACAAATAATTCAGTGACCCTAACGACGAGCATCTTCTTTTATAACCACTAGTGTTACTATCAAATGGGATGATCGGTGCAAGGACAAGGTGGCGAAGAAAATGTATGGACACAACTGAAATTTCTTTGAATCAAAAGTTATTCAAGAAGAAAATTACTTGCGAATACTAAGACTTTTCAAAGTTCACAAAGGAAGTCTTTAATGTCCCTACATCCCATGGTTTTCGAATCTAGTTGACCCGAATGGTCGACTGTTTGGCTTCTAAATCAGTGGCCAAAATGGTTTAATTTCACTCTTAACTGGTTCTTGGCCAAAATCATTAATTTAGTTAGCTACATGTTCATTTGGATGGTCGAATTATTGACCCATTTGACCCGTTCAATAGTATTTCAAACTTGGCTGCTTGACTTTTGCCTTTGTTTGGGGAATCTAAAGTTTTTCAATGTACTGTGTTTGGTTTCAAGAGAGAGAAAATGAAATTGAGGGAAAGTTACACTTTATATTTCTCTCTAAAGAAACCTCCTGGTGATCTTAATTTATGTGAAACTGTTTACCTTAGCCCAAAACTTCACTGTTTTGGTTTCTTTAGGATTGAGCTGCCTTCTACCTGCAGTCTTCACCCACTGAAAGTGCAGAGCTTGAGCAGCAGCAGCAGCAGAGAGAGAGAGATGGTGAAAGTGTCCCTGCACAATTGAAAGTAAAGTGAGGTGCGGAAATAAGCTCCATTCTCATATTCATTTTCTGTGCAACTCTCCTTTGTTCTTTGATTCTAGCTAGTATATATTGAGTTCATCTCTTAGAACATACTTCAGGATTTATTAATAACTTTAGATTTGAAAGATAGGTGGGTTGTCTTTTTGATTTCAATGATAACATGAGAATTAAATCTTTTTACGCTTCCAAATATAGTTCAAGTCGAAGAATGAATTCAAGAACACCTAAGAACTAGAGCTAATACTATCCATCGATATCTAAGGTAGGGTCATTCAAATCTAGTCAAGTTCAACCCCATAGAATGCATCTCATGCAAATAATTTACATCAAGTCTTAAAAACTAACACATAATGTAGATCACTGGAACTTGATGTTATTTTTTTTTTCTTTTCAATTCTTGGTATCATCCTTCTTCTTTGGAGAAGAGCAGGTTAATTGATAGACGCCCAATGCATTTCATTCAAGCTTGGATTCTTCATAGCAATTTGTTAAACATTTTAGCTCAATAACTACAACTTCACACTTAAATCATTCATTACTACTCTCAATGGGTTTGTTTATCATCAAAACACATAGGGTCAATATAAGGGTGATGTAAGAAGGGTCAACATGAAACGACCTTTTTGAGCCTCTAAATTGAAAAACTAATGAGAAATATCAGGATGGAATCATTGAAATTTCATGGTTAATATTCAAAATTTTGTAGTAAAATTTGAAAGTAAGGGCTTGTGGATGGTCCAGAATCTTTTTTGTGGTGTTGATTCTTTTATTGGGTGCTTAAATTGTAAGTTTTTTAGACCCATGATGATTTACACCAGTAATGGTCACATGATGGATTTTGACATCCATTGAGTTTGGTTTTGAGATGGGGAGAAACTTTGACATGTCTTGAGTTTAATGGTTGGGTAATATTTGAGTTTTGATATAATTAAGTGGTTTAACTTTTGGTCTTTTTTGGTTAAGTTAGTTGGAAATAGATTTTTTTTTCTAATTTAATGGTAATTGGATTTCATAGGTGGTTAAAAATGGATTTATATGGATTTTGGGATGTATCACATCACATGGAGAAGTTTGATCATTCAAATGGTATCTTGATGATGGTTATCCTTAAAGTGGATGCAGATTGGTCTTTGGGTTTTATCATTAGTTGAGGATTAGTGCGTATAGGTCCTGGATGTGAGCCCAATTTGGGCCGAGACTGACCATGTAGTAGATCTTCAGGGTTGTCATGTTAGGTTTTTCTTCTAGAGGGATTTTTGGATGTCTTGGATTTGCTGGTGTTCAAATGATTTGTTTTACGTTTTGACTATTCTATGATTGAACCAACTTGATTTGAAATGGAGTAATCCTTTTGTGTTTGGTTGTAGTGCAAATTTATTTGCATTAGTACAAATACATAGGGGTGCAAATGTAAAAAATGCAATTTCTTATTTAATTTTGTTTTGGATTTTACTTTATTCTGCCTCATGTCTTAATTTACTTCATCTGTACCGCAATCAAACAAAATAAGCTAAAATTTGAAATAAAAATAGGTCAGAATTTACACTCAAATCATTTGCACTGCCATGGTTTTACATCAATACAAATTCATTTGCGTTGCAACCAAACACAAACTAATATGTTTTCTCTTTATTTTGCATTTTTCTTTTGTGCTTTTTGGTTTTTGGCACAACAATATTTATGCAAGAAGTTGGAGAAGCTTTCATCACATAAACCTTATACTGATATTACAATTGAATGAATAGGCAAAACTGTCCTCTAGAAAATCAGGACAACGGTAATTGCACCGCTGACGTTGTTCTTTGAAAATGTGGCAAGTGTTTATTCTTTCTTTCTTGCAAAATATTGAATTGTGAGATTTGTGCGCCTTAAATTCATCACAAAAAGTTGTCACTTCCTTTTTTGTATATTGTGAATGAAAGTCTGGAATGAAGATTAAAATGAGTTAGTTCATTTCCATTTTCTCTTACAATAATTTCAGATATGGCCATGGAATTTGTATCATCCATCTTAGTAGAAATTGGAAAATGCTTGCTGGGACCAGTGTTCGAAGCSGTTGGGCAGCGTGTTAATAATGTGGTTAAGGTGAAGGAAAACATTGAGMAGCTCAGGAAGCAAGTCCGTGAACTGGAGAAAACGAAAGAATCCGTTGAAAAGTTGATAAAGAAAGCAGAGAGGAAGGGAGAAGACATCAAGGATAATGTTACGAAATGGCTTGAAGATGTGATGTCTATTATAGATGAAACAAATAGTTTCATTGATAATGAAATTAAGGAGAATGGCAGTTGCTTCAAGGGCTTGTATCCTAACTGTGGCTCACGCTACCAATTAAGTAAGAAAGCAGGGGAGAAGATGAAACGCATTAAAGAGCTTCAAGAAGGTGGCAGGTTTGATGTTGTATCTGATCCAGCTCCTCCTCTTGGTATAGAATTCATGTGTGATAGAGATTTTCAGATGTTTAAGTCCAGAGAGTCAGCAATAAAGGAAATCAGAGAGGCACTGAAAGATGAAAATGTCCATGTCATTGGGATTTATGGGATGGGTGGTGTGGGAAAAACAACTCTGGTGACGGAAATTGGCAAACAAGTGGAGAAGGAGAAGCTTTTTGACAAGGTCGTGATGGCTGTGGTGTCCCAAGATCCATACTTGAAACAGATTCAAGGTGAGATTGCAAGGATGTTACCCTTAGAATTTGAAGAAAAAGAAAATGTACTGGAAAGAGCACAGAAGCTATCGAGAAAGTTGCAAAAGGAGAAGAGTATTCTTATTATCTTAGATGATATGTGGAAAAACTTAGATTTGAAGCAATTGGGGATCCTTTTGGATTTGGATGACAACAAACAGAGGGAGAGGAGGGGGTGCTGCAAAATCCTACTCACAACCCGAAGCAAAGATGTATGCGATGTGATGGTGGAGAGGAACGCAATTATTCGGCTTGACATCTTATCAGAAGAGGAAGCTTGGGGTTTGTTTAAAAGGAAAGTGGGTGATGGGGTGGAACAGGGAGATTTTCATAATGTGGCAAGGGAGGTGGTTAAGGAGTGCAAGGGTTTGCCTGTAGCAATTGTAACAGTTGCTGGAGCACTAAGACACAAGAAAGATTTACAAGAATGGAAGGATGCATTGGAGGGACTTAAAAGGGTTGAACCTCAGTCTGTGCAGGGAATGGACCAACAAGTGTACACATGTGTGAGATGGAGTTTCGATTATCTGGACGATGTGGAAACCCAACGCTTCTTCTTGTATTGTTGTCTGTTTCCTGAGGATTATGAGATTGAAATAGAGGAAATGATGTGGTATTGTTTTGGAGCGGGAGTATTTGAAAATGTTGAAACAATTGAAGATGCAAGACGCAAAACCCGTAGGATTGTGAATAAGCTCAAAGCGTCTTCTCTGTTGTTGCAAGGAGAGAGCCAGGATTTCATCAAAATGCATGATATAGTTCGTGATGTGGCCATCTCAATCGTATCACGGCGTGTTGCTGTTGGTAATAGATCTCATCATGATGAACTATTCATGGTCAGAGCTGGTAAAGGACTGACGGAGTGGCCAAGAATGGAATCCGGCATTATCAAAGCTGCAGCAGGTTACACAGCCATCTCGTTGATGAATAATGATATACAAAAGCTGCCTGCAGCTGATGGATTATTGGAATCATCATCTTCAGGGCGGCTAAGGACTTTGTTGTTGCAAAAGTATTTCAGAAGTAGTTCAAAATTGGAAATTCCAAATACTTTCTTTGGAGGGGTGATCAAATCACTTACAACACTGGATCTGAGTAATAATATCATTGGTCCCAGCAACCTATCATCGATCCAGTGCTTGACAAATCTCCTTACGTTAAATCTACAAGGATGCAGGGGGTTACAACAAGAGATATCTGTACTTGGATCTTTGAACCAACTTGTGATTCTCCGACTAAATAGATGTAATCTGGAAAGGTTGCCGCCGGATATGGCACGGTTAACCAATCTAAGGGTGCTGGATTTATCAGACAATAAAGGTCTGATTATACCACCCAATGTGATATCAAGCTGGTCCCATCTGGAAGAACTATACCTGTTTGGGAGCTTTTGCGAGTGGGAGCAGGTTCAAGGAATCAGAACGGGAGAAGAGCAGAGAGCAGCAGCTAGTTTGGCAGAGTTGAAATCATTGCATGGCCTCACCACTCTAGAGGTAATGGTAGAGGTAAAAAATTCTTCCAAAAGTTTGCGAGATGGTTTTGTTTTCCAAGACCTGAAAAGATTTTTTATAGTGATGCATGGTGATGATGGTACTATGAATTATGATTTTGATTGGATGACTGGCATTTCAGATTATTATAGAACAAACAGCCCAGTAAATTGGTTAGGTTTCAAAAACCTGCCAGCCCAAACAATCAAAGTTGTATGTTCCAATCAATTACAAAGAATACAAGTATTGCAATTGTATGATTGCAACGGTGTAAGAAGTATGGAGGAATTAGATGATAAGATGGGGTTTAATTGTTTGGAGTCTCTTAGTATATGCGGATGCAATGAGGTGGAATATCTCTGGCCCACTCATCCCATTTCGGTCCTTGCAAAATCTTCACAGCTGGCTGTCTTCACTAATTTGGAGAAATTACATATTGAATCCATGCAAGTCCTGAGAGGAATAATCTGTCCTGCAGCTGACCAGTCCTTGGCCAAACTTAAATATTTATATGTGCGTAGATGCCCTGGGTTACTCAATATTGTCACCCCCAACTTACACCAGAGCTTGCAAAAGTTAGAAACGCTTGAGGTAAAAGAGTGTATGAATATGGAGGTGATATTCCAGTTTGATCAAGGGCTCCTTTCTGATGATCGTCATCAAGGTCAAGCTGAAGCAGTTCCAATTGTGCTGAGTTATGGTTTATTAAATTATTTGAAATTGAGATCACTACCGAAATTAACAAGCATATGGAATGGCTCCCCTCAGCTTCTCATGAATTTTCCTGCCCTAAATACCCTTGACCTGGATGGTTGCCAAAGTTTGAGAAGCATCTTTTCATGCCCAAGTTTAAAATGCCTTTCCTCATAT